TCAACAATACTTACTATAGACAAATAGACGGGATAGCCATGGGCTCGCCTCTAGGCCCGATTTTAGCTGATCTCTTCCTAGCAAAGCCAGAAAATGGATCTCTCAATGAGAGTATTAAGAAAATTGATTTATATTGCCGATACATTGACGACACCTTCATCATCGTAGATCAAAACACTAGTGAAGAGGAACTCCTAGACCAATTCAACAGTGTTCACCCAGCGATCACTTTCACTGGTGGAAGCGAGCATGATAGGAAGCTGAACTTCCTTGTCGTCACACTAAGCAGACGTAGTGACGGCACACTAAGTAGAAGCGTGTATGGAAGAAACCCCTCTTCATGCCAATATACTCACTTCTGCAGTTTCACACCAATCCGTTACAAGAGAAATTTGGTCAGATGTCTCACTAGCAGAGCAAAAACGATCTGTACAGTAGACAATCTAAGTCAGGAGCTTGAATTTATCAACAACTCACTGACCGAGATCGGCTACCCCAGCGCGTTCATTAGGAAGTACATGCAGGATATAATAAAGAAGTCGGAGATTTCGACTGTTCGTAAGAAACCTTTATACATGAAAGTGCAATTCAACGGGGATGTGGCTAGTGACACTCTGAAATATAGGTTAACCAAAGTAATCACCTAGACATTCTACGCAGCCAATCTTGCGTTGAATTTCCCTTGTCGACCAGTGATGTCTACTCAAACGAAAGATAAGTTGCCTGAGTTGGCCTCTTCCATGTGCATTTACAAAATCAGCTGCTCCTGTGGAGAGAGCTATAAAGGGCGTACTACCAGGCAACTTAACCAACGAATGAGTCACATCATTGTCTACTCTGACTGGCCGTATAGTAACAATGCACGATCTAACGTTTGGCGCTTGTCAAGAACATATTTAGGCTAATATAGAATAATATAATTACTATGATTAAAGACAAGTTATACAGAATAACCACTTCTGCAAGGTTGAGCCATACCGTGTGATTGCAGTCCTAACATCAACGGGAAGACTCAACCAAACAATACAAATGAATATTTTGCAATATCCTTTCTCATAATTACGTGTGAGTGAGAATAATTATTAAATAAATAGTGTATAATGAAGCGATCATCACTGGTAGAAACACCGTAGTGTTCTTCTTTTTCAAATCTGTCATCTTAGCAATGCTACGGTCGGACTGTTACTACTTTATTCATCCATACTGTTCTTCAGTCTTACATGAGTATACGCTCAACTAGTATGGTATTTTGACTGATCAGTTTATAACAATGACCGTTGTAAATTTCAAATAATATTTTCCTGTGGTGAGACTACATCAAATTGAACATTCACAACGGATTCATTATTGATTGCAATGATCACAAAATCACAATACAGAATACTGTTATTTTTCTAAACTAAATGCTGTAAAACTCTTTTAATATAATTCAGCTTTTATTCAATGAAAAAACAATTCAGGTGAATATCAAAACGATTTCAGTTATTTAATCAACCGAATTACTTCAGTCGATACGTTAACAAACAGAAAATTCTATAAAACTTGTTCAAATAATTGAAACGGTTAACAAAATGTAAAGAAGTTTCCGGATGAAATACAGAATAAAACACCTCGATCAAAATAATAAAAACAAACGATAAGACGTTTCTGTAAATCATAGATTACTCTTCTTTCTCTTATACATCCAAATAGCATAACCGATGCAGACGTAGTGACGGCACACTAAGTAGAAGCGTGTATGGAAGAAACCCCTCTTCATGCCAATATACTCACTTCTGCAGTTTCACACCAATCGTTACAAGAGAAATTTGGTCAGATGTCTCACTAGCAGAGCAAAAAAGTTCTGTACAGTAGACACTCTAGGTCAACAGCTTGAAGTCATCAACAACTCATTGACCGAGATCGGCTACCCCAGCGCGTTCATTAAGAAGTACATGCATGATATAATAAAGAAGTCGGAGATTTCGACTGTTCGTAAGAAACCTTTATACATGAAAGTGCAATTCAACGGGATGTGGCTAGTGACACTCTGAAATATAGGTTAACCAAAGTAATCACCTAGACATTCTACGCAGCCAATCTTGCGTTGAATTTCTCTTGTCGACCAGCGATGTCTACTCAAACGAAAGATAAGTTGCCTGAGTTGGCCTCTTCCATGTGCATTTACAAAATCAGCTGCTCCTGTGGAGAGAGCTATAAAGGGCGTACTACCAGGCAACTTAACCAACGAATGAGTCACATCATTGTCTACTCTGACTGGCCGTATAGTAACAATGCACGATCTAACGTTTGGCGCTTGTCAAGAACATATTTAGGCTAAATATAGAATAATATAATTACTATGATTAAAGACAAGTTATACAGAATAACCACTTCTGCAAGGTTGAGCCATACCGTGTGATTGCAGTCCTAAACATCAACGGGAAGACTCAACCAAACAATACAAATGAATATTTGCAATATCCTTTCTCATAATTACGTGTGAGTGAGAATAATTATTAAATAAATAGTGTATAATGAAGCGATCATCAACTGGTAGAAACACCGTAGTGTTCTTCTTTTTCAAATCTGTCATCTTAGCAATGCTACGGTCGGACTGTTACTACTTTATTCAATCCATACTGTTCTTCAGTCTTACATGAGTATACGCTCAACTAGTATGGTATTTTGACTGATCAGTTTATAACAATGACCGTTGTAAATTTCAAATAATATTTTCCTGTGGTGAGACTACATCAAATTGAACATTCACAACGGATTCATTATTGATTGCAATGATCACAAAATCACAAATACAGAATACTGTTATTTTTCTAAACTAAATGCTGTAAAACTCTTTTAATATAATTCAGCTTTTATTCAATGAAAAAACAATTCAGGTGAATATCAAAAACGATTTCAGTTATTTAATCAACCGAATTACTTCAGTCGATACGTTAACAAACAGAAAATTCTATAAAACTTGTTCAAATAATTGAAACGGTTAACAAAATGTAAAGAAGTTTCCGGATGAAATACAGAATAAAACACCTCGATCAAAATAATAAAAACAAACGATAAGACGTTTCTGTAAATCATAGATTACTCTTCTTTCTCTTATACATCCAAATAGCATAACCGATGCAGACGTAGTGACGGCACACTAAGTAGAAGCGTGTATGGAAGAAACCCCTCTTCATGCCAATATACTCACTTCTGCAGTTTCACACCCATCCGTTACAATAGAAATTTGGTCAGATGTCTCACGAGCAGAGCAAAAAAGATCTGTACAGTAGACACTCTAGGTCAGGAGCTTGAATTTATCAACAACTCACTGACCGAGATCGGCTACCCCAGCGCGTTCATTAAGAAGTACATGCATGATATAATAAAGAAGTCGGAGATTTCGACTGTTCGTAAGAAACCTTTATACATGAAAGTGCAATTCAACGGGGATGTGGCTAGTGACACTCTGAAATATAGGTTAACCAAAGTAATCACCAGGACATTCTACGCAGCCAATCTTGCGTTGACCTTCTCTTGTCGACCAGCGATGTCTACTCAAACGAAGATAAGTTGCCTGAGTTGGCTCTTCCATGTGCATTTCAAATCAGCTGCTCCTGTGGAGAGAGCTATATAGGGCGTACTACCAGGCAACTTAACCAACGAACGAGTGAACATCTACCAACTTGGTACATAAAGGGCCAGAGAAAATCTATTCGCAGTTCTATCTTGGCACATCTTATTGATAGCGGTCATGCTTTAGATAAATCGAAATCATTTCGAGTTATCTATCGTATACCTCCATCATTTCCCGACGGAGTCCGTTCCCGTCTCATATATATAGCTGAAGCCATTGGAATTCGTACATATAACCCCAATTTATGTGTACAGAAGAAATACGTGACCCCCTTATCCCATCCATGGCCAGTTATAAGTTAACTAACAATTTTTTTAATTTTATTATTATCATTATTTATTTTATTCTATTTGTGTTATCGTTAACCTTATTTCCACATCCATTATTGGTTTGTAATTATCCGCCTCTTTGTATTCTTCACTATCTAATTAGTTACACACATCTTATTACGTAATGATTTTAATGTTTTGTTGTTGACTATTCCTAGTCTATTTACCCACGTTTGTTTGACCTTCTATTGCCAACGATTAACTATTGATAAGAGTTTTGTTATTGTATTTTATTATTCTTACTATTATGAGTTCACCTGTCTTCCTACTACTATGAACTTGTACTTTTACCTATTATGTGTAGAGACTTATTCTATTTCATTGTGAGTATTGACCCATATTGCCTTGATTGGTTTACGTTTTCGTATAAATATTCATGTATATTAGAGGAAAGCCTGATGACGATCTAATTTCATTATTTGTAAACAATACACTAAATACACAATTTGCCCATCTTTCTTAAGTTGTCACTCAGAAAACTCATCGTTATTTCATTTTTGTTTTCGTATTACAGTTCTTTACGGCTATATCTTTTATCCTACTGATTATCCTATTTTGTCTGCATGAGGTCTACGTTTAATTCGTAAAACCTACCACACAACGCAAGAAGAACAATGGATTTCCGTTGAGGGATTGGAATGTTCATATCAATGAGACTCATATGTTGGATAAATATTTGCTCAATGTTGTTAGGCAGTAAATGATGTATAGCCTAATAGTCGTTGTTGTACATAATTGAAAATGTGGAGAAAAATGTCATAATCATTTGCATACGACGTATTAGGTAATTGTATGTTCAACCGTGGAATAGATTGATTTCTTGTGTTCAATCTAGTCTATCAGTCACATTTGGGTTATGCTGAACGTGTAATGTGACAATGACATGTGGTTTGTTCAGTTAAGTTACACAGTGTGTGGAATTATGATCTAATTTGTTATTGGTACCATTACAATAATAGACCGAATCCTAAAATTGTGGATATGTCATGATGTGACTGCCTAATCTATATGATCTTACATGGAGTCACATCATTGTCTACTCTGACTAGTCGTATTCAATGAAAAAACAATTCACGTGAATATTAAAAACGATTTCAGTTATTTAATCAACAGAATTACTTCAGTCGATACGCTAACAAACAGAAAATTGTATAAAACTTGTTCAAATAATTGAAACGGTTAACAAAATGTAAAGAAGTTTTCGGATGAAATACAGAATAAAACAACTCGATCAAAATAATAAAAACAAACGATAAGACGTTTCTGTAAATCATGGATTACTCTTCTTTCTCTTATACATCCAAATAGCACAACCGATGCATATGACACAGAAAGCGACGACGACGGCTACTGGTATCACGATATACAAGTAACGAGGTGTGTTATTATGTTTATTGTGTACAGTTATTTCTGTAGTGGTGTTCTGAAAGAGAAACGAAACAGTAGCATTAATACTAAATATCAAATATTCACCGAATAAGGTTCAGTTTTTTTGCAGTATTTTTCCGAAATTTTTCTTCAGTGTGAATTTCAGTGATTCCTTTGTTCTGCGCTCTAACAACTAGAGTCTACAAACTTTCACTAATTATCCAAACATAATATACCATTTCCAACGGAATACGCTTCATCACTCAAACCGATTTCATCGGTGATTCATGGCAATTCACATTGACATACGCTTTCATATTGGATTTCTGAAGTCACTTTAAGCTCAGTGAGCTCAAAAATTAATATGACTCCATGCATTTGTGTTAAACAACGTTTCTGTTCATTGTTTGTTGTTACTATGAAATGAAAACGTATTCGTTGTAATAAACGTTTCTTCCGAGTAATCGGATGTACAGTGTGGAATATAGCAATGTTGTAAACAATCTATGAATCTTAACAATTACTTACCTCAACATCATTATCATCGCTGTTAATGCACATATTAGCTTCTTCATACCAGATACATTTCACACTTGATGTTGTCGCATTTTGGCATTTTTCAATGGAATCGTGTTTTGAACAACTTACTGTGAAAAAATTAGGGAGACGGCATTTCAGGTTATCAAACAAAAGATACGTGAATAACAAAACGTGTAACTGATATCAGTTTTATCATCAATCTATATCTTGTATACCGTTTCTGCATGTGTAAAGTGCACAATCAATTCGTGAGCTCACTGGCACTGACTATTTCGAAATCAGTGCATGAAGGTCAGCTGTTCTCAAGCCGAAAACTGATTTTCAATGTTGTTGATTCGACGGAAAGACAAAGGAAGAGGGACTTTGCTTTTCAAATCATCATTGTGGCTTCCACAAAAACATTTTCATTAACCTATTATGTGATGGAAGGTTTCAAAATATGTGGCCACGTTCTACTCTGTTTAACGTCAGTTAGCACATCAGACTCATTGGGTTAGTGAAAATAATATTTTGTTCGACAAATACTGAAGGTGATCCGAACATTAATGTATCGAGCGATTCTCCCAGTCATCGAAACGTTATTTCAATAGTCTAACACATGGTGAACTAAAACGTGTCTGTAGACAATTATAGCGACTCACGTGCGATTGAGTTCAGTTCAGTCAAGTTCTTTTGTTGACCTATTTAGTGGACAAAGTCATCCATGCTATGACAACTTGTTGTACTGTTATTATTATTGTGCTTGTATGAAATAGATATGCTTGAAATTGCTTAGCGCCTACGCATGTATTCATTCTGCTAGCTTCATTATGAGTTGCCCAATCTATTCAATGACTCATCCATTTTCCTATATATATAGCGGTTCGAGGTGATTATTTATCGAAGCACAGCCACTACACACTCACTTTACATATTCATGAGAAAGGAAACAGTCTTATATTGTGTAAATCGTCAGTAATTTTGTTACTGTACATATATATCGACTATGATAAATTGCAATTTGAACGCGTGACTTGTCTACACCTTCGATTTATCGAACAAGCATGACAAAGCAGAGATTTTAGAAATGAAACGAATACCTTCAAGATGATCACAATAACATGTAGTGTTTCAGTGATTTCAATAACTCAGATAAATTGGATATCGTATAAACTGAATGAAAAACTAACGAACACCTCCTCGATAATACACAATCTGCCAACAGACGATAAACGTTTTCGAGCATTAAATCATCTCATCCATCGTTTCGTGGCGTGATTTCTATGTAAATTTGAAGAAAGTAAAGACTTCTGTGGTAGTTCAAATTGAGTGCTTAATCATGTGGAATATCCAACAGCAAATCGACGTGTAATTATTAATAGCAAGGGAAGCGTCAACAGAGAAACAATACTGGATATCGTGAAATGGCTAAATAAAATTACACTTGGAATTTATAATATGATGAAACAGAAGTGATATATTCAAGTGCGGAAATATTCGATGCTGATTAAATAAGGTTTAACATACTCTCGATAGGTTTAGGCTTCACTGACGTGTCACTTGTCATCAATTCTGCAGGAGTTGTTATTTCAGGTTCTCTCACATCTGTAAATTTGAAGAAAGTAAAGACTTCTGTAGTAGTTCAAGTTGAGTACTTAATCATGTTGAATATCCAACAGCAAATCGACGTGTAACTATTATTAGCAAGGGAAGCGTCAACAGAGAAACAATACTGGATATCGTGAAATGGCTAAATAAAATTACACTTGGAATTTATAATATGATGAAACAGAAGTGATATATTCAAGTGCGGAAATATTCGATGCTGATTAAATAAGGTTTAACATACTCTCGATAGGTTTGAGCTCCACTAACGTGTCACTTGTTATCCATTTTCCAACAGTTCTTATTATAGGTACTCTCACATCTGAAATACATTTAAAAAAACACTTAAAATTTTGATTAAATAACAATTCGTTTCATCATTTCATGTACCGTAAAATTAAGACTTAAACATTTCTGATTACAGATCGAGTGTTTTTCATACAAAATCCTCACAAAACATGCTCTACATCATTACTGATATGGAAAGCGGCCAGTGTTTAACTAGTAAATGAAAAATGATAATATTGAATTTCTGATTCATTTTAAAACATTCTCAGTGCAACATCTTCAAGAAACATGTTCAACTCGGTACAATTCTTTCGACCTTTCAAATTACACATAGTCAACATTGAGATTTACTGTTTAAGACTAAGTAACATATTTCAACCGATCAATGTATACCGTTTGACCAAATATTTAGTGCATTGTCTCACATTTAATGACAAAACATTGTATCCCACCGAATCGCTTTCACTAAACGCTTATCTTGAAACTCAGCTTGATCTTAAGACAACACATGATCACTTCAGTATGGCATGAAGATTGAGCATTGTATAAAACAACTATCAGTTACAAGCATCACTCTTTTGTTTCTGTTTGAGTAGTGATATGACTGAGGACTACAAGTGGGACTGTTTGTTCTGTGAGTGAATGAGCGAGTGAGTGAGCAAGTGAATAAATCAGTAGATATATGGTCTGTCAAATATTGTCGTTCATATATCCCTGTCTGGATCAGTCCGTCGTTAAATGTATGTGTAAGCATTCTCCAATAGCTATCCACAGTTTTACTGTAATGATATTCACACATCATAGTTCTATCACTCGGAATATTGGGTTAAGAAAACGTCAGAAAATGTGGATCACGAAATTCATTGTCTGTGTAATTTATCACAAAAGACTGAAACAGAACCATTACAAGTTCATCACAACAACTCAAATCTAATTTGTTACAGTGATAAGGATGACCGTTGTTGAATTAAAAACACATGTACTTTGATTTCAATACAGTGTTCCATTGTTCCAAATACATTAGACATTTTCATTATTGGGTTTCACTAAGATTCTTTATCGGGTGTAACTACAAAAATTCCATTCAAGAATTGTAAACATATAATTGACGTTGAATATCCAGTATACAGTAATTTTTGGACAGTGATTTTACGAAACGTATTTCGACTTTATCCCTCACGATTATCCTCAACACTTTAATTGCACTTCGATCGATTTGTCTTACATTCAAATCAACTAATCATTGTAGACTGTAATACAGTTATATATGATCACTGTGAGCGAAAACAGCAGGTCACTATGTTCACATGCAGATGACCGTGTACGAATGGGAAGTAATATTACGTTAACAGAATACTGTCGACGTGGTTACTCTACATCAAAATACCAGCAATAATTGTTACCTCCACACTGAATTACACCTTCAATTATAGAGGTCAGTTTAGTTGCTTTTTGTTCCGTGGGGATCTGAAAAGAAGTATTGGAAGTATCAAACACTGACATTCAAAACTATACACACTGTGAAACGATCAACAGTTTAAACACTAAATCCCTCAGAATATTCTGCAATGTACTTTCCGAACAGCTTATCTCCAGAAGACGAAATAAATCTTGTCATAATATGACTGTTTCCGTGCTGTACTCTAGAGTACACTGTTTGTCCTTATCTGTCGCGAAGAGACATCATCGTTTCTTTTGATGACTCTTCACTTCTAATTATTCACTGTTTTTAGCAAGTGGTACATTAAAGTGTGTGTCATTAAATGATTAATAATAGTGTCACATAGTCCGTTTGCACATTACAAAAGTTGATCTCTTTCTGTCGTATTCAATGTATCTTGATACATTTGACATTAATGATACGCAAGAAAGAGTGGATTAAGCTATAGTACTTGAAACAAAATTTTATTTCCATTCAATTGTACAACTTACGTTCTCATAATAGAGGGATATCTTCCCACTGGAATGTATCACATTAGTTATCTTGGCTATAATACCTGCAAACAAAAGACTATTGATATTTAGAATTCTTAGGGAATGATGATGAGCTTGTTACTGTTAGGTGTGACACTGTATATGCCTACTTACAAAAAATATCCAATTTAAGCAAACATATACCGTGTTATCTCAAATGTTTTCCTTCGTTGAATTCGTTATGAAGAATATCAAGTGGACCTCATGCAAAACATACGAACACAATTTATTCAAAATGAATGTCAGCTGTTTAGTCTTCGGAACCCGAGAAGTATACAATTCTGCGCAATATTTTCTATCATTACTCCCAAATCAGTCGACCCTAAGAACACATGACTTGTGTTGTGGAGTGTTTGTTCACAAACGGAACTTGAGAATTTAATTACTCATTAACCACACTGGTAAATCGATCAGTCGACTGACTCCGACCATGGCGTTTACAAAGAACACAGATTTATTTGTTGAGGATGTGAAGTGAATAGTTTCAGACATATTGTCCTAAGGATTTACTGATTTTATCGGGTAATATTTAGGAATGACTGTGTCGACGAATGTGGTCCGTGCAGAAAATGGCTTTGGGACGAACATATAACACAATTTATTTGTTACAATAAACAGACTTCACATCAAGTTCCATTGAAGCCAGTCAACGATGATGAATCTGTGCATCAGTGTTTCCACATGTGAGATGGCATTGCAACTTCATTCATCCATTTATTACTCGTCAAGTCTAGTCTCTTTCAGTCTATGTTAACTGTTCTTCGAGTCTAATCATTGTGATTAATTGATCAATGGATTCCATGTGCAAGTCCACCCTCATTTTGCAAAAGCGTTATGTATTCCTACTTCTGTCAGTCATTGGGAAAAATTGAATTACACAAACTGAACAGGCAGGTGTGAGCAAACACGATGAGTAGTTTTAAGTGTTAAGATTTCATATGATATCAAATGACCATTCAATGTTCGCTTACTTGTACCGTCAACCAATATCTCATAATACCATTTGACAGCAATGAAATCATCTGAAAAAATGAAAATCGAAAAGATATTTGTATATCTGCATAATGAATATCTACCTCTTTTAATAAATATACATTCTAACAAAAAATGTATTGGCAGACGAGTTATCACCTTCCTTCCTTCCTTCTTCCGAGATTTAAGTGAACTGGTACATTTAAATGAACAATCATCATTCGTTGATTGATTGTGTAAGGAAGGGCGTGGGTTTTAATGTCATTATTTTATAAACAGGATAATCTAAAAAGTGTTAAACATCCAATGGTCCACAGATAGCGACTAAGAGATATTTAACTTTCATGAATCAACTAAGTGTCAGAAAAGAGTTGGAAGACGTCAAGTATAATTTGACAGTTCATAAAGTTAATGACTCAAACTGACTGTTGAACAACATTGCTTAGTGTTGCACATGCGATCAATTTGATTCATTTAATCTAGAAAGACGAATCGCGTCGGTGAGACATCTTTCGCATTGTTGTTTAAATAGACTGGATAACAGATCATTTTCACTCAGCAACCACATCGCTTGGTTTATAATTTCTACTGAATCGATTTGTGTTTATTTTGTAGTGAATCCCTGTGTTTATTTGATATTTTAACTTGACAGTAATGAATACGTGCTGTGAACACATGTTCTGGTACCAAATCACAGAAACAATATAATCACTGTGAACTGGTCAGCTTTCGTGTAATAATCAAGCTAAATACTGAACCATTTATGCACAACAAGTGTGTGAACAAACAAAAGAAAACATTATGGGATAATAGAAAAACTCACTGTTTCTACCATCTCATATTCAGGAAAAGATTCGCCGTAAACAAAATTATATATCGTTCCGATGTTTTCTTCTCCGAATATTTTTATTTTGCCTATATTTAATGAAAACATACAATTTGATTGAAATTCTATAATGGATGAATGAAATAGTTTGAAATGAACTGGAGACAAAAATGAATTTCATGAACTGTAATTAGTTTGCTATCAGACATCGAACGTTTGATAAGTTCAACAAGAAGAAAAGGAATCTATCAAAAGTTTTGAATGTCAGAAAAAGCATAAAACTGATTCATTGAAGAAATTCTAGCAAACTTGATTCATGGAATGAATTGTGATTAACAAAACTCAATAACAATTTTAAGTGAAAGAAAAAAATTATCTTACCATCAAGAAAAATCTCAAATCTAGTGACGTTAATACCGTAATATTTAAACGAAAATTTCGGTGTAACATTCTTAAAAGATGCAAACATAAGAATTAGTAGTTCCATTACAAAATGTAGTCAACTCACCTGAGTGGTACTAAATTTTTTAAAACTGTCACTAACAACTGGATACTTCTGATTGTGACGTATTGTTCGTGAGTAATGATAATGATGAGACTGTGTATGTGCATTAGAATCTGACTGTATACTTACATATTTATATGAACCGTTTTCCGAAATCACATTTTCATATGTCTCTAATTCAGGGTTTTTGCAGATATCCTGACAGTCGAAGAATTTGGAAAGCACGATGACGACCAAATAAACCGGTATCAACAGACTAGATAGAGAAGTATATCTAAAATGGTTGATATGAACAAAACAATGTTATCTCGTTGAATCAGACGGAAATTCATATAGTACATACAATAACTTCGTGTGTTCAGTCAACACTCACCTCATCTTTCCGTTCAAAATAGTATAACAATCTTACCAGAACTTGTTAGGTTTATATAGATTTTTCAGGTGTATGTTTGTTTCTTTCTGACTTTCTATGATTCAAAGTAACCATTGCAAAGATCTAATTTCATAAAATCATCTTTTCATTGTTAACCAATCATTTCGGTAGATGAACCCATTATTATCCAATATCTTTGTAGCTATCGAGGACATAGGCAGATATTTATCCACCATTGGTTGAAATTCCTGACCTCCGTTGATGAAAATGCTTTTGGATATGATTGGCAATACTTTAAAATAAGTGATTGGTTTATTTGTAGTTCAAAATGTATGCTCATGTGTTCACGAACAAACACTTTGTTACGTGTAATAATCTGTTAATGGACTGTCAATGGCGCACTAATTTGACTTGATTGGTTAAGATCAAAGTGGCACAAACTGTTTCAATTGGATGTCAAAAAAGGCACTAACATTTGAACTTTATTTCAATTGAGAATATTATTTGATGAATATTAGACTATTATTGAAAACCTGGAGGCACTGAACAACTGTTTCGTCTTAGTGAGAAACTTTTCGGCAGTGCGCATCCACAATCCCGCACGCGGGATTCAAACACAGGATCTTTGGTCTGGCGCGCCAATGCTTAACCTCTAGACCACCTATTTGGCATTCAATAGTGTCGGTGTCTAATTTCAACAAATCCACGAGGATGTGCAACCACCCACCAATGTCTGAGATAGATACATGTCTCTGCCTGAAAGGAATAGCTCGACTGGTCACAGTTGCTCACAAGAACTCCGAGAATCCCCAGAAGGAGCTAGTTAACAGTGAGCACATGATAATCAACAAGGTAGGGTTGTGGGGATTGATAAGTCTTTCAAAGATATCAGAATCGATGTATGTTAGATAATGGTCCAGTGCTCTACGTTTCTAATGATAGGCTAATATTCATCGACTCATGATTTCAATCGATAGCTTAACAACACCATACTGCGAATATGGTTGCATATAGTGATGATTCTAAGAGAAAACGACCATAAAATCACTTCAATTTAGATAGTAAATGGTTACAGTGTTTATTCATAGCTGAAGCAAGACTAACTATGAATTGACTGCCAAAATATTTGTTTGCAATTTACTTGCTTTTCACAAAAGCAGGAATGTTTTGCAAAATGAGAATTTCATTCATCTCTGTTCTGTGTGAGTAGATGACTGTCAGTCATATAAACACATAATTAGAAAGCGGTATTCATTATTCTAACAAAGTTTCATATCACGCCTACTACACAATAGAGAATACCATATGATTTGAATAATTAAATATAATGAGGTGATAGATGAAGAGAAAGTATAATCATTGAAATTTCTACAAACAACTGAGGTTAACAGACAGATATTTGCAAAAAAACTCTCAGATAATCCACACTATTGTTGCTATCATTCAAAAAATATTTCTTATGCGAAATCGTATATTAGACTAGTAGAATTCAGGTGGACATGATGATTACAAGTTTAGGCCAAACAAAGAACGTTTATCGAAAATAATACGTTCCTTTGGTCCAATACTATCTTCAACTCAGTTACACCAGATTTTCTAGTTGCCAAACACATTGTGGTCTCAAATGAAGTAGAGAAGTGAAACATGAATGTCTGCTTGATCAAAATAGAGAAGACGAATTACAAACAATTAGTTCAACAAAAATCGATGATGAGGAGTTACATACAAGTTCAAAACAGCCATCTCGTACTCTTATGATTCTAGTGGTGATCTGACTAATATCACTTTGCCATTGAAAGCTCTGAAGATGCCATTATCTTCCCGAAACACTCGTGGTGGAATAACTTCGGGATAATATCTTAACTGCATATCGTATGCTATATATCCCTTAATTTCTTTAGTGTTCTCATTTGCCTTATACCGTTCTCAGTCTGCACATTCAACTTTCTCAATCCGCATGACTTTCTTAACACACTTACCTTGATGACACCCCGTCTTACTGTACATTATCTTCACATTGCGTTTTCTTTATTAATAATTATATTACAATTTATATCGTTGGTATCGGCACTCGAACAATAATAATAATAACAATTTTTATTTTTATTACGGTTATCGCAATTATTATTTACTCCACTGATCAAATTATATTCTCCTTACATTCATTTTTGCATATCATTCGTTTGATTATTACATTGATTACAATTAGGCACCTCACACCGAATCACTTCAATCTTATGAGAATAACCTTTACAGCTTACAGATGACACATTTTTGAGGCATTTATCACACAACTGATACACAGAGTCGTCACGTTTTAACACAACATTGTCTAATTCACTTGAATGCTCAATTTTAGCCTTTCTTACACTTTGTTTGTGAACTTGTAACTGTAGAGTGTGATGATGAAGTTATCGAAAACACTTTCCACTACAATATTCTTCATTTCTTCCTATTTAACACAGGGATTTCTGGTTAGGTTAGTTTGTATAAAAGCAAGCTCACAGAAAACAGTTTGAAATTGATGAATTGGAATTGTTACACCTGGAAATGACACCGGCATAACTTTACACAAAGAAGGAGAGGAATACTGTCGGTAGGTACAAGGTGTGTTATTATTGTTATAAGCTTTATTCAATATTATATTTTGGTACAATATAGAATTCTCAGCATGAGTATTTCAACAAGTTTCCGTTTTTTTACTTCTTGGTCGATCCTGACGATAAATATTGAGTGATCGCCAGTTAGGTGTTAGCAGTCCAGTAAATGAACATCTGAATAATGTATATTCTTTTCTCTACATATTGCCAGCGACCACACTGTCTCTTATTGAGCTTTTTGTAACTTTGACAATGAAAGGTTGTACACTTTTCAGAAATGCACCAGGATAGGTTAATAAACATAATGATATATTAAAACAAACAAAAAATAGATAACTTGTTGAAATATCTAGATGGCAGGAACAGGTAGCCCAGATGCTCAAGCAGTACTTCATTTCAACGTGATATTGGTTCAATGATTATTTTATAAGTCGTTTGAACTACATTGTCTTTCAAATGAGTTAGTTGAAGGGCTTAACAGAACTAAATTCATACCCTACACTGACATGTTCGTTTTTTTCTTTGTTAGCTAATTTATCATTTCAACCAATCAGGATATCACACATATTTTACTCCTGTTGGGTTTGATTTCGACCGACCAAAATTAATATTGTCACTCGTAACCAAGCCCTGAGGTCAGTGAGAAATTAGAAAAGGAAGACGAGTAATAAAGTTAATGAAATAGAATGAATAATCGATCAGAAATGTCACACTTATAATGATAGGATCATAGGTGATTCTTTTACATGTAGTATTCTGTGATTAAATATAAGCGGTTTGACAAATATATCGACGATAGTAAAAGTACTTGAGTGTAAGTCAATCAAAATGACGTGGAACGGGATAAAGACTTCTTAGTTCTGAGTAGGAAGAGGAAATTATTCTACTCTCTATCCACAAGAGCCAGACGAATATGCAATGAAGACATAATCGATGGTGAACTGAATATAATCCGACGAACAATTCTGCACAATGGCTTCCAAATCATGTGCACTAAAAATAATCTGGAACCAGGATATCAAGTCGAAAAAACTGCCTCAGTTCATCACTGAAAGGTTAACAATTGTTTTATTGAAGATTAGTGATAGTCAGAGAGATAGTGATGCAAGATTTCAGTTCCATGATAATCATCATCGATGTTTGTTGGTTTCATTGTTCGTATTTCGTCTTCTCTATTTTGATCAAGCGGACAATCATGTTTCACTTCTGTACTTCATTTGAGACCACAATGTGTTTGGCAACTAGAAAATCTGGTTGAACTGATTTGGAAGATAGTACTGAACCATAGGAACGTATTATTTTCGATAAACCTTCTTAGTTTGGCCTAATCATTATTATTATTATTATTAGCTTTATTCAATATTATATTATTGGTACAAATAGAATTCTCAGCACAAAGTATTTCAACAACTTTCCGTTTCTTTCTCCTTGGTCGGTCCTCGCGATAAATACTGAGTGATCGCCAGCTAGATGTTAACCGTCCAGTAAATGAACATCTGAATAATGTACATTCTTTTCGTTGTATATTGCCAGCAAGAACATCCTCTCTTTTTGAGCTTTTTGTAACTTTGACAACAAAAGGTTGTACACTTTTCAGAAACGCAGCAGAATAGGTTGTGCGATTAATAGACATAATGATTTATTAAAACAAACAAAAATAGATAACTTGTTGAAATATCTAGATGTCAGGAACAGGTAGACCAGATGCTCAAGCAGGCCGCTTCTTACGTGCTCCTAAATCTGTTTGGATCGTTCAAACTATAACTTGACGATTCAGTCAGGATGATATGGTTGAATATTACATGTAATCATCATGTCTACCTGAATTCTACTAGTCTAATATACGATTTCGCATAAGAAATATTTTTTGAAAGATAGTCACAATAGTGTAGATTATATGTGAGTGTTTTTGCAAATATCTGTCTGTCAAGCTCAGTTGTTTGAAACCTTCTATCACATATTAGGTTGATGAAAATGTTTTTATGGAATCCACATTGATGATTTGAAAAACAAAGTCCCTCTTCCTTCGTCTTTCCATCGAATCAAACAAATTGAAAATCAGTTTTCGGCCTGAGAAATGCTGACCTCCATGCACTGATTTCGAAATAATCAGTGTCAGTGAGCTCACGAATTGATTGTGCACTTCACACATGCGGAAACGGTATACAAGATATAGATGGATGATAAAACTGATATCAGTTACACGTTTTGTTATTCACGTATCTTTTGTTTGATAACTTGAAATGCTGTCTCGCTAATTTTTTCACAGTAAGTTGTTCAAAACACGATTCCATTGAAAAATGCCAAAATGCGACAACATCAAGTGTGAAATGTATCTGGTATGAAAAAGGTAATATGTGCATTAAGAGCGATGATAATGATGTTAAAGTGAGTAATTGTTAAGA